AATGGAGACCCCCCCTACCGGGAAATCGATTTCGGTTTCGGGTTCGTGTCGTGCGTGCCGTGCGTGCGTGCGGGCGAGGCGGAGCTGCGTGGGCGGGCGAGAGGAAATCCTCCTGTGGCTTGGCCGCGGCCGGACCAAATGTTTCTCCTCCGGCGGCCGGTGGCCCGCGGTGTCCCGCTGGTGTCCCGCTGGTGTCCCGAAATCCTCCTGTGGCTGGGCCGCGGCCGGACCAAATGTTTCTCCTCCGGCGGCCGTTGGCCCGCGGTGTCCCGCCGGCGTCCCGCTGGTGTCCCGAAATCCTCCTGTGGCTGGGCCGCGGCCGGACCAAATCCCTCCGGCGGCCGGTGTCCCGCCGGCGTCCCGCTGGTGTCCCGAAATCCTCCTGTGGCTGGGCCGCGGCCGGACCAAATGAAATCCTCCTGTGGCTTGGCCGCGGCCGGACCAAATGTTTCTCCTCCGGCGGCCGGTGGCCCGCGGTGTCCCGCTGGTGTCCCGCTGGTGTCCCGAAATCCTCCTGTGGCTGGGCCGCGGCCGGACCAAATGTTTCTCCTCCGGCGGCCGTTGGCCCGCGGTGTCCCGCCGGCGTCCCGCTGGTGTCCCGAAATCCTCCTGTGGCTGGGCCGCGGCCGGACCAAATGATTATCCTCCGGCGGCCGGTGTCCCGCCGGCGTCCCGCTGGTGTCCCGAAATCCTCCTGTGGCTGGGCCGCGGCCAGACCAAATGATGCTCCTCCCGTCAAACGGTGGCCCGCGGTGTCCCTCTGGTGTCCCGCCAGTGTCCCGCCGTGGGTTGCGCATTTCAAAACATCGCCGCTTGCGGCGAGCTATCCAATGCAAGTCTGCATGCAAACCGACATGCAGACCGAAAAGCACATCGAAATGCAGATCGATTTGCACAAAGCAGAGCAAATCAAAGGTCCAATCGGAGGCCTCAAAGCGTCACGCCCCACTCGTGAGGACGGCGAAACTGTACAGGCCTGCCATGGCGAGCAACGCTGGCGGCGAAGGAGAAAAATTGGATGCAGTATTGACAGGCGTGCTTGAGGGGAGGGGAGGAGGAGGGAAGAAGGAGGGGGAAGTGAGGGGGGGAGGGCGACGGAAATCAGTTGTTCATGTACTCGACATACTCTTTCTCCAGCATGGACCACTTCATTCGTGAAAATCTCGGAATGCTTGTGCCAAAGTCCACTCTTCCTTGCTGCGCAGAAAAGCAAAAACACGCTGTCGGTCCACCGGGTTTTGGGACGACCGCGTCGCCGAACAGATCCTTGTGGGGACCACGCCAACACTTGGTACGGCCAGCTGCAAGGATGCGCCGCGATTCTGGTCAACAACCGCCAACGTGCACGGTCGATGCACGCAACCCAATCCGGAACATCTATAAGTGACAATGCATGTCGTAATTTTTCCTTGCACCGTCTGCCAGCGTCCTCCCAGGACTCTGTTGAAAGTCTATTGAAACCAACAATCGTGCGAAGCATCTGCATACGCGTTGATGCTATTCTGTCGCGCTGCCTAAACCCTAAACCCAAAAGCGCGATTGATAAGCGCACGCGGGGACAGCGCTTCACGACAATGTCGAGTGCGCTTCGCCAACATCGCCACATCACATCACGCTCACGTGCACAATCACACTACTCACTAGACTCCGCCCCAAAGGCATCGTCAGAACAACAATCACCACATTTGCCCATTGCTGCCCCCCTTCAACCTCCTTATCACCCGCAGAGTGATCATATAGGTATGATCATCGTAAGCTTCATCGTCATCATCGTCATCATCAGTATCATCATCATCGTCAGCATCAACATGATCGTCCTTATCAGCATCATCATCATCATAATCATCATGATCATCATCATCATCATCATCATCATCATCATCATCAGCATCATCATCAGTATCACAATCATCATCAGCCTCATCATCATCATCGTCGTCATCAGTACCAGCTGCATCGTCATCATCGTCATCAGCATCATCTTCATCGTCATCAACATCATCATCATCATCAGCATCATCAGCATCATCATCATCATCATCATCACAACCACCATCATCATATCATCATCATCATCATCAGCAGCAGCATCCACTCCCATATCAGCATCATTATTATCCTCCTCTTCCTTCTTCTCATCACTATCCTCCTCGTCATGTTCTTCATCAGCAGCAGCAGCAACATCAGCAGCAGCATCATCATCAGCATCATCAGCAGCATCAGCATCATCATCATCGTCAGCATCAGCAGCAGCATCATCATCAGCAGCATCATCATCAGCATCATCATCAGCATCATCATAACCACCCTCATCAGCAGCATCATCATCGGCAGCATCATCATCAGCAGCATCAGCATCATCAGCATCATCACTATCATCATCCGCATCGTAATCGTCATCATCATCAGCATCAGCATCAGCAGCAGCAGCATCATCATCATCATCATCGTCATCATAATCATCATCAGCATCATCATTAGCAGCAACATCATCATCATGATCAGCAGCATCATCATCATCAGCATCATCATCATCATGATCAGCAGCATCAGCATACCTATCATCAGCAGCAACAGCATCATCATCATCATCATCAGCAGCAGCAGCAGCATCAGCATCATCAGCATCAGCATCCTCGTCATCAGCATAGCAGAGTCATCGCCACCACCACCACCACCATCTTCGTCAGCAGCATCCCCACCACCACCATCATCAGCACCATCACAATCATCATCATCAGCATCATCATCCGCATCGTCATCGTCATCATCATCATCATCATCAGCTCATCATCATCATCATCATTATCATCAGCATCAACATCATCGTCGTCGGCATCAGTATCAGCCGTATAATCATCGTCAGTTTCCATTGTCATCATCGTCATCATCAGCATCATCATCGTCATCATCATCACAATAATCATCATCATCACAATCAGCATTATCCTCATCATCATCCACATCATCGTCGTCTTCAGCAGTGTCAGCAGTTTAATCATCGTCAGCTTCATCGTCATCATCGTCATCATCATCAGCATCATCATCGTCATCAACAGCATCATCGATATCATCATCACAATCAGCATCAACATCATCATCAGCATCCACTCCCATATCAGCCTCATCCTTCTCCTCCTCGCCCTCCTCCTCGTCAACATCATCCTCGTCATGTTCCTCATCTACCCCATCCCTCGCCTTCTCCCTGCTACTCCCCGCCCCTCTCATCCGCGGAATTCCGCCACGGGCCAGCTACACCGTATTCTTGAACACTACCCCGAATTGGGCGCTGGCGGTGCAAGCAGTGTGTAAGGTCGAAGATGACACCCGACAGCACCCTGTAGGCAGAGCGACGTGCCACCCAGTTTCCAGCGTGTCACGACATTCGCCCACACCCACGATAGTGGATGATGTGAACTTACCCCTTGGCCAAAGGCCGAGGTTGGTGACACCCTGCTAGTTTGCAAGAAATGCTGCCAGCGCGCTTCAATCAAACTCCTGGGCCTAGGAAAGGTCTGTCCCAGGCTTGGTGTCCCTGGCTGGAAGCGCAGATGAGCGGCGTAGCACAAGTTGCGCTGCTTCCAAACAGGCACCCCAAGTGCGGCAATGACGAGATGATAAGTGCGCATTGGCCTCTCTTGGAGCAGTTCCACAGGGCTGACAAGGCCCAAGTGGTCTCCCCCAGGTTTGGGCTCACTTTCCCTCTGGCCCCTCTGGCCAGACCCTCGCCGCATGCAGGGCAAAAGCACGCACCCACTCTCCTTCCTGATCCCTCTTCCTGATAAATACACCCTCCCCCCCTAACCGCCAGACGTGCGGTGTGAGTCGGGCAGGCCAGGCGTTTCGCTTGACACCTCCGTACGCCGATGTGCCATATGTGATTTCCTGATGTGCCATACGTGAATGTACACACGAACGGAGGGAGTCGCTTTCAACATGTAGCTCCCAGCCCAGCGCTGCGCACACTCGCCCTATACGTGCCCAGCTGCTACACGGATGGGGATTAGGTGGTTTCCAAAGTGTGGCTCTCGCCTCAGCGCCACGCACAATCGTTCGCTCAAAGCTTGCAACAATAAGATGTACGGATGAAGGCGGTAGCTTTCCATAATGAAGCTCTCGCTTGTGACCTGCTCGCGAATAAAGATGAGAACCTCAGTAGCACACAGCAAATACACGGGTGGACGGGTGGACGACGCCTCCTTGTCAAAATGGGGCTCTCGCTTGAGACATCCTCAAGGCCTACGACAATAACGAGAGACGTGCAACATGTTCACGGAAAGGGGGAGGCGATCCGGTTCAAAGTGGCCTCTCGCCTGACACATAATTTAGCTTTATGCTCCTACCGCTTCGCTTTCTGTGGCTACAAGTATGGAGGGCGACTCCTTTCAAAACGGGGCTCTCGCCGGAACGGCATCCCCATGACGGTCCTCGACTTTCCAGGGGTCGCTCCACGCAATGAAAACAACTCTTGCAAGGGGGGGCCTGAAGAGGGGAACCAGGACGGGAGGCCGAAGAGCATCGCAGATGCATCCTGGGGGTGGTCTTCATACTCCCCCTCCCCTCCCTGCCCCTTCCTTCGCCGCCACTTTGGAGAAAAAGACAACGATGACCGTGCCCAAGACTAAACGCGGAAATGTCGCAATCGATCTTGAGCACCGTCCATCTTGATCATCGTCGCTGCACGCATCATCATCGCAAATCGGCGACGGCTGACATGGACAATGACCAAGACTGGCGTCGACAAGCTCCCGCGACACCTTGGTCATGGTCACCGTGTTTCTCCCCTCGACAATCCTCCTGATCCTCCCCCCTGCAGATGGAAGAATGCTAAACATCAGTTCTTGGATGTTCGCACTGAGCTTTCGGATCGGCGCTTGACCCCCCTCACGCCGCCAGGGGACCTTAACGCCGATCCAAGAGATCCGCGCGGACCCCCGAGAAATTATGTTTCTGCCATGCATTGTTGTTCGAAATCCTCCTGATCCTACCCCCCCGCCGTCCTCGTCGAAGAGCCTGCCGAACCTGCTGCCCGCTGCGCAGCACAGGACACTCCGCGGCACCTGCAGCACGCGGCACGGGCGGGCATGGAAAGGACAGGCGCCAGAAGAAGTTGCTGCTTGGCCGAAGGGGGCCAGCGCGCGGAGCAATTAGAGCATTTCTACTCCGAACTACTCCGCGCGGATGAGCTGTTGGCGAAGGCACATTGAGAAATTTGCGTCACGGTGATGTATGATGTGCAGTCTATAAATTGCCATATATGTTGCGTGATACATGTGGTGTTATCTATGTGGAGCAATCTACGTGAAACACTATACGTTGAGCAAAGTATGTGGTGAAATCGATACGGTACGATCTATACACGTGGTGCAGCTTATCATGTGCAACACATGGTGTACGATATAGGTTGTGCAACCGATGTGGTGCAAACTATGTTGTGCATTTTTGCGCGCCAAATATGTAGCGCAGTCTACGTTGTGCAGTAGACGTAGCGCAATATATATATATATATATATATATATATACATACAAATATATATATATATACAAATAAATGAATAAAAAAATAAATACATAAATATATGTGTGTGTATGTATATGGTGTCATACATGTTTCGCAGTCGATGCTGTGCAAACTACGTGGTACCAAATATGTGGTACAGCCGATGTGGTGTTATCTATGTTGTGCAACATGTGCGAAACAACCTATATGGTGCAATTAAGCATCGCTGAACTTGAAACTGCCCACTCCATTCCTCGCGCAAACACCCCACCCACCCGCCCGCAACTTGGTGTGCAAACCCCATGCGGCGGCGATTGCGATGAGTGTTTGGCGTTGAAAAGTGCATTCTGCGGCCGCGACAGCCCGCGCATGCTCGCGCGCGCAGCGGCCAGCTACTTTGGCGCGACCGACGCAGCCGCGGTAGCGCTGACTGCTGGGCACACCCCAGCGGGCACTTCAGTGCAAGTCGACGACTTGGGCGGGCGCAATATCATGGTAACGTCGACAACGGTAGACACAGTGATGATAGTAGCGATGCTGGCGACGATGCTGACAGCGATGACGGCACGGCCAGTGACGGCGCGGATGCTGATCACGCCGACGACGATGAGCGCGTCCTCGCGTCGGTGATGAACGTTTTGGAAGGAGTTCGACATGTGCGCGCGGCCGACGCGCGAGAGTGGCCCGCATGGTATTATTTGACACGGATCGTGCCCCCCCAGCACGCGCGCAAGGGCGTGCGAATGATATCGGCACGCGGCGCGAGAGGCCTTTTTTGGAAGAATTCCATGAAAATGTTTACGAAACGATAGTTTTCTAAAGAATTCGCAAAAGCGCGAGCGCACCCTTTTTTTGAAAGCTGTTGTTGCGAAACCATGTGGTTTTGCATGTCCTTTGGACACTCGGTTCTGAAATCGCTAAGGTTTTTGACGGATTTCGGCATGCGCGCGCGACGACGCGCGCGCGCGTGCACTTCGTCGCACTTGTTGCAGAGGACTCTCACGACGGCACGCGCGCAAGGGCGTTCGAACAATTTCGACATGCGCGCGCGAAGCCCGTTTGATAGCATGTTCTGAAAAAGTTGAAAACCGACGGTGTTCTTACGACTTGGCAAGAGCGCGCGCACAAGTTTATTTTCGGAAATCCGTGTTGCGAATCCATGTGCTGTTTTATATGTTGTTTGGACACTCGATGTTGAAATATTTGCGAAGCCGGAGGTTGTTGGAGGATGTCGGCATGCACGCGCGACGAAGCGCGCGTCCACTTCGTCCCATTTGTTGCACGGGATTACTGAAAACTTTTGATTTGTTTGAATACGAATGCGCGCGCACAGCATTTCTGGCAGAGGATGGCGGGGGAACAATACCGGTTGGGCTGAGATGGTACGAATGCATATTTCGAATGGACGATGGGGCAGAATCACATGTAAATGGCAATACGAAAAGGGGATCGAATAGTCCCGGAGGGGGGGGGGCCTATTCCCTTTTTAGAAAGGTAAATGAATGTGGACCAATATATGTGTTACAGCCTATGTGGTGCAAGATGTGTGGAGCGCAGTATCTGTTGTGCAATTCATGTGGTGTGCTACACACGCGGGCTACGATATGCAATCGATGTGCTGCTAACTATGTTGTGCAATCTATGTGGTGCAATATTTGCTGTGCATTTTATGGGGAGCAACCCACTCTGCTGAACTTGAAGTCGTCATCTCCACTGCTCGCGCAAACATCCCACCCACCCACCCGCAACTTGGTTTGCAAAACCTCTTCAGACCGACTACGACGACACCGACGACAACGACGACGACGACACCGACGACGTCTCCGACGACTTCGACGACGACAACGACGCCGACGCCGACGACGACGAAGACGACTACGACGACGCCAACGAAGGCGACGACGAGGGAGGAGGAAGGACGTCGACGGCGACAACGACGACAACGACGACAACGACGAGGGAGGAGGGAGGACGACGACGACGACGCGAACGAGGACGACGACGACGCGAACGACGCCCCCGCCGCCCCCCAAACGAGGCTCTCGAGGCGCCCAAGACGGCCCAAAAGGGCCTCAAGGCGGCCCAAGAGGCGCCCGAGACAGCCCAAGAGCGCCCCAAAACGAGCCCAACACGGGCGCCACAAGGGGACCACGGACCGCGCGCTCGAGCCTTCCGTCCGTCCGTCCGTCCGTCCGTCCTTCCGTCGTCGTCCGCCGTCGTCGTCCATAGTCGTAGTCGTCCGTCGTCGTCGTCGTCCGTCGTCGTCGTCGTCGTCCGTCGTCGTCGTCGTCGTCCGTCGTCGTCGTCGTCGTCGTCCCTCGTCTTTGTCGTCGTCGTCGTTTTCGTTTTCGTTGTCGTCGTCGTCCGTCGTCGTCGTCGGTCGTCGGTCGGGCGCGGTCGCGCCGGCACGCCCATACACGTCTGACATCCTCAGCCTCCTAGACCCTCTGGGCGCGACGTCTGAAGGCCCCCACACTCTGCAAAAACTCGCGCCAGCACCCCATAATTTCACTCACGGACGACGGGAGGTTTCTTGAATGCTGGAGTCTCTGTGCACTTCTCGGGCCCCCCCCCCTAGACGCGTCTGACCCGCAGACCAAGCAAAATGGCGGGCTGAGCCAACGGCCCTTAGTTGCACGCCGCTCAGAACCCATACTGGGTGTCCTTCGCGCGGCTCTGTCGCGCACCGTCATCTGTTTCGGCCGCGCACCTACACACCGACGAATGGCAACGCCACAACTGGTTCGAGCGCGCGCAGGAAGCGAACCAGCCTGGATGGATGGTTTTGGGGTCGACGCGCCCCCGGGGCGCGTTCTGCCATCGCGCTATGAGGCGAATCCCGCCGTGGCCACGAGGAGCCCCCAGGAGGCCCCCAAATAGACGACGACCACGGCGGAGGGCACAACGACGATAACGACGACGACGACGACGACGACGACGACGACGACGACGACAGCGATCAGCAACAGCTTTGCAAAGCGCCCGCCCCAAAGGCACGCCTTATATGTATATCAGTTCGGTTTACATACGCTACACAACCCTCCGCTCCCAGAATGCAAAGCAACTCCGAGAGAATGGCTGGCTGCGCAGTAACTGCAGGCGCCGAGGGAAGTAATAGACTGATCTGGAAACTCGGAAAAATGACGACGACGCGGACAGCGACGACGACGACGATGACGGCGCCGAGCGCCCCCCCTCCTCCTCCCCCCTCCTCCTCGTCCTCCCTCGCCTCCTCCATTTCCTCCTCCTCCTCCTCCTCCTCCTCCTCCTCCTCCTCCTCCTCCTCCTCCTCCTCATCCTCATCCTCATCCTCATCCTCATCCTCATCCTCCCCTACCTCCTCCTCCTCCTCCTCCTCCTCCTCTTTTTCCTCTCCCTCCTCCTACTCCCCTACCTCCTCCTCCTCCTCCTCCCTCCTCCTCCTCCTCTCCTCTCCTCCTCCTCCTCCTCCTCCTCCTCCTCCTCCTCCTTCCCCTCTCCTCCCCTACCTCCTCCACCACCTCCTCGTCTTCCTACCTCATCTTCCTCCCCTACCTCATCCCCTCTCTTCCTCCTCCTTCCTTCCCCCTGCATCCTCTTCCCCCCCCTCCCCTTCCTCCCCCTCGCCCCCTCTCCCACGCATCCCCCGTACACGCCCGGACACGCGGAGCTGACGTGGGCTTCTTGATCTGCCACGCCCTGTGCCTGCCACAGAGGCTGTCGGCGTGTCGACGGCTGCACTGCCCTACCACAGAGTTACCAGTGGATCTTGGCCGACCCACCTTGCCACGAGGAAGAAGCGCACAAGCGCTGAAGCCAGACTTCCCCCGCCCAAGATGGCGTCAGCATGGCCTCCAAGACGCCCAAGATTGCCTTCAATTTGGCCCGAAATGACCTCCAAGACGGCCACGAAGAATCCAAGAAGCATCTCGGCTCGCCCAAGATGCTTACGAAGATGACCCCAAGACGCTCCAGGATGGCCTGAGGACTGCCCAAGATGCCCACAGGACAGCCCAAGAGGGCTCCAGTATTGATTTTCTGTATGTCTTGAAGAATGCCCGCGATCTCACCATTTCGGGCTTCCGACCGCTTAAACGGCGCAAAAAGTTTCCAGAGTCGACCAACGAGTTCCACAGGGGGCCCCTGGACGTCCCCAAGGAGGCCCAGGCGTGCACGCTGACCCCAGTGGAGCCCACGATGGCCCCCGACTAATCGAATACACGCAGACGGAGACGCAGAAGCCTGTCAAGCATAACACACGCACAAAGCAAACATGGATCAATGACTCCTTTGGGGGTCGGCAGCAGAGGCGGCAGCCTTAAGATCCGGCCGCTCCCGCCCTGCGGGTTGGGCCGTGCGAGACCTCTCTGACAGAGTGTTTGGCACATCTTTGGCCCCCTTCGCCAGTGCCTGGTCAAAAACTTCCCTGAAGTCCCTCCGAGGGGGCCCCACTCTGCCGCCGGACACCCGCTCCCCCTGGGGCCCCTCCAGGTCCGGAACAGCCCGGGGACGACCCAAGAGCGCCCCAAGCTGGTCCAAGAGAGTCCCAAGACGGTCCAAGAGAGCCCCCAGACGGCTCCAGATCGCTCCAAGACGCCCAAGATTGCCTCCAAACGGCCCAGAACGCCTCCAAGACGGCCCAAGAGGCCTCCAAGAGCACCCCCAAGAGAGCCTCAACAGACAGAAATCATTGATTTTCCCATGGTTTTTGAAGGATTCTCGCCATTTCGGCTTACCGACGCTCCAAGACGGCCCAATATGCCCCCAAGATCGCCCCAGGACGGCCCAACAAGCGCCCAAGAGAGCCCCAAGACAGCGCAAGAGGGCACCAAGACGGCCCGAGAGGCCCCAAGATCGCCCCAGGACGGCCCAACAAGAGCGCAAGAGGGCCCCAAAACAACGCAAGAGGGCACCAAGACGGCCCAAGAGGCCCCCGGGACGGCTCAAGATGGGGCCCCAGGACGGCCCCAAGAGGGGGCCCCGAAGGGGACCCGAATTAACATTGCGAGCTTTCGGTCCCAAGAGGCACCCAGGAGGCCTTCCGAGGCCCCCAGGAAGCCCCCAAGAGGCCCCCAAAGAGCCCCAAGAGGCCCCAAGAGGGCCCGAAGAGGTTTCCAAGAAGCTTCCGGGATGGCCCCCAAGAGGCCCCTGAACTGCTCCGCAGAGGCCCCCGAGAGCCCTCTCGAGAGACCCCAGGAAGCGTCCCTGAGGACTCCGACCCAAAACCCAAGCACGATGGCGGGATGGGCCGACGGCTATTTGATAGCTGGCATACGCGCCGCGTCACGACTTTCGATGCTGCGCACCACTTCGACAAACTCCCAGGGAGCGGCCGGTGATGCGCCGCCGGCGTCCTCGACAATCTCAATCCGTCGGAGGACGCGTGGAACTGAATATTTGCACACCCCGTCCCGACACCCCCAACCTCCTCCTCTACCCGACCCCAAGGCAGCCGACCAGGAGCCCGCACACTCTGGCGGTGGATCTTGAGAGAATCACGTGAGCCGCCTACTTCATGGAGTCAGCGACAAAACAAAAGAATATTACGAACGAGCCCTGAGATCCGACGTCGCGAAAAATGCCACATAGCAGCAAACCCCGACCAGACCCCTGGACCCCATGTTTTTTCCGTTGCGCTTCTTAAGCCCGATCGATCTGTGAGGGCCCTGGGGCGCGAAGCTGGGCGAAAACGCCCAGCGTGGACAGAAAGAACATCGCCCCCATCTCGGGAAACGTGCGGCGACCTTGCGCGGTGGCCAACGGGGGCCCGTAATTGCCGCGGCACGCACTGGGCGGAAGCGAGGGCGCCCGCGCAGCGCTCACCCGCGCAGTCCGCCCCCGATTCTCTGCGCAGACACTGTGCGCTGAGCATGTGTCCGTTCGCCCTGGCTGGGCAGGCGCGGCAACGCCGCGCCTCCAGGAAGGGCCAGGGGAAAGTCTGAGAGGAGGCGGGCGAGGCAAGCTCCCACAATGCTGCCAATCGCGACCATCTGTCGGCAGGTTGTGTGGCAATCCGTCTTGCCCACATCTTCTGCGTCTGTGGCACACCGTCTGAGGAGGAGATGCTGGGGAGGGGAAACTGATCCGAGGGATGCGTCCGACCAGGCCCCTCCTCCACACCGCCCGCATTTTGCACACCCCCTGGCATGCCCAGACCGCCGACGTCTTGTTTTTGTTCGCAACGTGGACCCCAGAGGACTGGACCCCATCCCTGGGACTGGATCATCGCTCCGAGTCGTTCTCTGACGGCCCCGGGCCCAGTGAGAGCCCCCAGAGGCCAAGAATCGCGAAAAGCCTGCTTCTCGATTTGTTCGATTCGTTGGACGTCTGGGGCCAGAATCCTCCTCCGTGCCCCCCGCATCTTGGCAACCCCCTGGCGTGGCGCACGCTCCCGCGAGAGCTCAGGCGAGTAAGGGCGGGGGCGGCGGCGTGGGCGCCGAGAGCGACTGCCCGGAGCAGCTGACCTCGAGCACGTCCGCGGACCTGAGGCCGAGGAAGCTGGAGGAGCGCACGCAAGAGGCACCTACACACCACCACGGTGTATGGATGTCTCTGGCGGGACGGGTCTTTCCAGGACGGGTTTCCGCAAACATAGGATCGGCGAGTATCCCCATGATCGGGCAATCAAGCCCTCAACATCCGCCGAGACCTATGCTCGAGCTCAGCGCATGTGGACAGTGTAGAATTCAGGGTAACCCTGCGACATGGGAAACCCGGTGTGCCAGAACCCAGCTTCGGGCCCTCCGGCAAATGCCCTCGACTGGCTACTGCCACCCTCCAGGACCCAGGATGGCCCCAGCAAGGGGGTGGTGGCGCACGGCGCACGGCTGCCCCCTCTGGAGGAGTCTCCCGAGGGAGTGGCGGAAGAGCACCACGCGCGGCCGGCTCCCACGAAGAGAGGCCAGGCCAGGAGACACGAGCAGCTGACACGAAGGAAGTGGGTCCTGGGGGAAGCGGGTCCTGGACCCCCCTGACCTCCTCGCGTCGTGAAAAAACGCGACTGGAGGTTTTGGGTAACTTTCGACCTCCTGTGGTCCTAACTGGCCCCTGGGACAGTCAAAAACAACTCGGGATGAAAAACCTGTCCCCTGGAAAGGGTCCAGACCTCTGGGGAGCCACGCCGAGAAAAAAAAACACGACGTCGGATGTCTGGGTGTTTTCTGAGCAATCTTACCAGCACTTTAGGGCGTGAGTCGTTGGAAGAGCTCCTTCTTCAAACCACCCTATTCCCATTCAGGGAAAGGGTTTCCCCTCCCCCTGCCCCCTTCGCTTGGGTCTGGAGGGGGCGTTCCGCGAGGCGCTGGACCCTCCACCCTCCACCCCCCCTCAACCCCCCCTCCGCCACCCCGTCCCCCCACCCTCCACCCCCCCCCACCCCCCCTCCATGCCCCCCTGCCCCCCCGCCAAAGTTCCGAAAGAGCTCAGGACAATCACCAACCTCCTCCACCACCTCCTCCTCCTCCTTCTCCCCCCTCCTCCTCCTCCTCCTCCTCCTCCTCCTCCTCCTCCTCCTCCTCCTCCTCCTCATCATCATCATCATCATCATCATCATCATCATCATCATCATCATCATCATCATCATCATCATCATCATCATCATCATCATCATCATCATCATCATCATCATCATCATCATCATCATCATCATCATCATCATCATCATCATCATCATCATCATCATCATCATCATCATCATCATCATCATCATCATCATCATCATCATCATCATCATCATCATCATCATCATCATCATCATCATCATCATCATCATCATCATCATCATCATCATCATCATCATCATCATCATCATCATCATCATCATCATCATCATCATCATCATCATCATCATCATCATCATCATCATCATCATCATCATCATCATCATCATCATCATCATCATCATCATCATCATCATCATCATCATCATCATCATCATCATCGAATCCGCGTGTGGTTCACACCTGGATCGCGTTCTGCTACACATCCTTCATCACGGCAATTTGCTTGGCCATTGTCTTTTGATGGCCTGGTGGGGGCACACGAAACGTCAAACAGCTTTTCACGGCCCCAGGGCATAGGGACACCGTATACTGGAGGAGTGCGTTTTCTCTAAACTAAACGGGCGGGAATCATGCATGCTCTTGAGCGTAGACAGAGACATATTCGATGGGGTCTAAGCAAGGTGTTTGCGGAACATACATTTAAAACATTACCAGCTCATGTATCCAGAGTGAGCAATGCAGATGTTCGTGGACTCGCCAACGCCAGACCGTTATCATTGTCTCTTCTAGAAAAGTAGCTCAATCTTCATGGTAAACTCGAACGGGACGCACCAACGAGCCTCCATAAGGCAATGATGTTCGAAAGTTGCCAGCCCCACCAGGTGGCACCTCGGAGATGGAATACCCGACGCTCGCGAGGGCGGCCGCGACTACAATGGACGACCTACTTACACGCGCAAGCACTGGCCGCAGCGGGGGGCGACAACGACAGGCTGGACACCATATCGCAAGATCCTTCTGAGTGGCATTCGGCTGTGTCGCAGCACTGCGCAGACACTTTCTTCCCCTCCTCGTCCTCCCCCCTTCCCTCCCCGCTCTCTCCTCCTTGGCTGGTGCTTTGCCGTCCACCCTCGCGCTGCACCAGCATACCTGTGCACTAGTATCAGAGGCCCAGCGATGCACGCGCGCTTGCATGCCTGAGCCCTGCATTATTCGAGGTCGCATGTGCCATCACTTAGTTCGCCAACGCGCCGTCTCGGCGCGGCCTCTTCTTTCTGTCAGGGCCCAGGGAGGGTCCAAGGAGGCCCGAGAGCGGCGAAAAATCTTAGGACTCCGTGGCGACCAAATGCAAGGACGCCCAGGCCGCCGATCCGCAACCGGACGAGCCCGCGGCGAGGCGGAAAACCGACGGCCGCCCAGGCCGAGCGCAGAGCCGGAGTCCCCCAGGCCGACGCCCCAGGGAGGACCTCCCCCGCCTCCCTCCACTCCTTTGGGGGGGCAGGGAGGAGGGGGGAGGCGAAGCAAGCGTAGATCAATAATGTTTGAAACAAAAAAAAAAAATGCCTGGCGAAGAACCCAACCATATGCAGTTGTGAGTACCGCAGCTGTGGGTTTCATCTTCAGTGGAACTCCTCATAAGACCACTGAACGTGTGAGGGGTGAGCCGAGATGGGTGCCACTGGGGCTTTCGGTGAAGCGCCCTATGGGGCCATGAAACACGTGCGGGGTGTACCAACATGGGTGGCGGAAGCGCATGTGAGAGCCGCCACTGGGGCCTCCAGTGGAGCTCCCTATGGGGCCCCGAAACATGCGGGGGGGGGGCCGGGATGGGTGGCGGAGACGCATGTAAGTGCCGCCACTAGGGCCTTCGGTGGAGCTCCCTATGGGGCCACGAAACGTGTGAGGGGTGTACCGGGATGTGTGGCGGGGGCGCATGTGAGCGCTGCCACTGGGGCCTTCGGGGCAACTCCCTATGGGGCCACGAAACGTGTGAGGGGTGTGCCGAAGTCGGTGCGGGTGACGCATGCGGGCGGTGCCGCTGGGGCCTTCGGTGGAGCTCCCTATGGGGCCACGAAACCTGTGAGGGGCGTGCCGAATTGGGTGGGGACGCGTGTGAGCGCGGCCACTGGGGCCTTCGGTGGAACTCCCTGTGAGCCCACGAAACGTGTGAGGGGTGTGCCGAATTGGGTGGGTGTGGGTGACGCATGTGAGCGCCGCCACTGGGGCCTCCAGTGAAGCTCCGTATGGGGCCACGAAACCTGAGGGGAATGCCAAATTGAATGTGGGTGACGCATGCGCATGTGAGCGCCGCCACTGGGGCCTTCGGTTGAGCTCCCTTTGGGGCCACGAAAGGTGTGAGGGGTGTGCCGAAGTGGGTGTGCGGGACGCATGCGGGCGGCGGCACTGGGGCCTTCGGTGGAGCTCCCCATGGGGCCACAAAACGTGTGAGGGGTGTGCCGAATTTGGTGTGCGGGACGCATGTGAGCGCCGCCACTGGGGCCTTCGGTGGAGCTCCCTATGGGGCCACGAAACGTCTGAGGGGTGTGCCGACTTGGGTGTGCGGGACGCAGACGGGCGGCGGCACTGGGGCCTTCGGTGGAGCTCCCTATGGGGCCACGAAACGTGTGAGGGGTGTGCCGAATTGGGCGTGCGGGACGCACGCGGGCGGCTGAGGGGGAGGAGGAGGAAGGAGGAAGGAGGGACGCGGGGCGCTGTCTCTTCAAAACGAGGACCCAACACCACAGGATGGTTGGGAAAAAACACAAACTGTATGAAGTCCGGGCTGGTGTCTTGGATGCGCGCCAGCCGTCCCCCGGCCAGGGGGGCGAGGGGCAAGCGCCGATCCAAGAAATGCGAACTCTCCAACATGGTCCTCTATGATTTGTTCAACCCGCGGCCCCAGAGCTCGTTTTCCCTTGGTGTAGTTATTCGTCCCCGAGTGCGTTTTCTTTCATTGTCCCAAGGCCCGACAGCCTGGCGAAAGACCCAACCATATGCAAATGTGGGTACCGCAATTGTGAATACCTTCTTCGGTGAAGCTCCCTATGGGGCCACGAAGCGCTGCACTGGGCGGGGGGGAACGCATGCGCGCGGTCGCACTGGGGCCGACGGTAGAGCTATGGGGCCACGAAACGCTGTATTGAGTGGGGGGGGCGCATGCAGGCGTTAGCACTGGGACCTTCGGGGGAGCTCCCTATGGGGCCACGGAACGCTGCGCTGGGTGGGGAGGGCGCAGCACTGGGGCCGTCGGCGAAGCTCCCTATAGGGCCACGAAACGCTGTACTGGGTGGGGGGGGGCGCATGCGGGCGGTAGCACTGGGACCGTCGGTGGAGCTCCCTATGTGGCCACGAAGCGCTGCACTGGGTTGGGGGGGACGCATGCGGGCGGTAGCGCTGGGACCTTCGGTTGAGCTCCATATGGGGCCACGAAACGCTGAGTGGGGGGGACACATGCGGGCGGTAGCACTGGGGCCGTCGGTGGAGCTCCCTATGGAGCCACGGGTGGGGGGGACGCATGCGGGCGGTAGACTTGGAACCTTCGGTGGAGCTCCCTATGGGCCCACGAAACGCTAATTTGGGAGGGTGGAAATGCCAAATTGGTTTTCGGGACGCATGCGGGCGGTCGCACTGGAGGCTTCGGTGGGGGTCCCTATGGGACCACGAAACGTTGTACTGGGTGTGCAAAAATGCCAAATTGGTTTTTCGGGGCGCATGCGGGCGGTCCCGCTGGGGGCTTCGGTGGAGCTCCCTATGGGGCCACGAAACGCTGTATTGGGTGGGTGAAACTGCCACAATTGTTTTTTCGGGACGCATGCGGGCGGTCCCACTGGGGGGTTCGGCGGAGCTCCGTATGGTGCCACGAAACGCTGTACAGGGTGGGTGTAAATGCCAAATTGGGCGTGTGGGACGCATGCGGGCGGTCCCACTGGGGGCTTCGGTGGAGCTGCCTATGGGGCCGCGAAACGCTGTACTGGGTGGGTG